ACTGCACTCCAGTCTGGGTGACAGAGTGAGACTCCCACTCAAAAAAAAAAAAAAAAATTACACATGCACTAATTTGTACGTGTATATTCTCTGTGACTCATTTTAAAGAATTTTTAAACATTTCTGATAATTAAAATGGACCAGTCATGTTGAAACTGATAAGTTTAGATAAATCATCACTGATTTTAAGGTACTATTGACCAGGAAAGGGTAGCTCAAAGCTTTAATTTTGAATGACCTTATAAAAACATTTCAGGACATGTTTGAGAAATTTGTTCTTGGTATACTATGAAAGCAACTAAAATATTGTAATACGTATCCAAGGTGGACTGTTATTCCTTTATGAGCAGATTTGACCATCTGATATTTTGACAATCATTGTTTATATATATAGATATATAGATATATATTAGGGTGAAGTATGAGACAAGTTATTACGTTTGCCAAAATAAAAGATTTTACCTGACCACCTTTCTATATACTTCAGTGAATTCATAAGAAAATACCATTGTCAGGCCAGGCGTGGGGGTTCACGTCTGTAATCTCAGCACTTTGGGAGGTGGAGGCAAGAGGACTGTCTGAGCTTAGGGGTTTGAGACCAGCCTGAGCAACATAGTAAGATCTCATCTCTACAGTAAATCATAAAATCAGCTGGGCGCGGCAGTGCATGCCTATAGTTCCAGATGGTCCAGTTACTTGGAAGGCTGAGGCAGAAGGATCGCCTAAGCCCAGCAGGTCGAAGCTGTGGTGGCTGTGAGTGTGTCACTGCACTTCAAACTGGGCAAGAGAGTGAGACTCTGACTCAAAGAAAAGAAAATTGCATTTTCTTACAGGTAACAAAGCTGTATACCCAGTGCTTTGAGGTGAAACCTAAGGCCTCACGTCCCTTTGGTAAAGCAGAACATGCATGAATTTTCAACTTCAGAGTTACATGTTTGTTAGTGAAGGATACAGGGGGCCCCAAAAGACCCTAATTAGCTATTGGAAGCTGGGCCCCTTGTAGTACACTTGGAACTTGTTCCTCTGGATCAAGAGATCAACCAGAGTTTTTAACTGGAAGTTCCGAGCAGGCTGTGTCACGATTTGCGGAAGTAACGTTCCAATTGTTGGCAAACAGGTGACTGGTTCTTCCACCACGACAACACGCCTGCCCACACCACGGGGACTGTTCGTCAGCTCTGGACCCTGAACGGCATGACCCTCACGCCCCAGCCTTCCTGTTCCCCGGGTCTCACCTCGAACGACTTTTGTTTGTTTCTCTGGATGAAAAAAAGCCCTCAAAGGGAAGCATTTTGCCAACATGGAAGTCGTGAAGCAAAAGTGGCAGAAGCACTAAAAGACAACAAAATTGACGAGTTCAGAAACAGTTTTGAGCAGTGGAAAAAGAGTCTCAGTAGGTTTACTGCACCAAATGGAGAGTGCACTGATGGTGACTGATATTTAAACATGCAAGAATCAATACAATTCTTCATAAATAAATTCTGTTTTTTGGGGGGTTCCCCCTTGCACATGAAATGAATGATATTAATCCTTGTTAGTGTTAAAAGCATTAACTGGAAGAGGAAATGTATCTGATTAGTCCAATCTATTAAATAAAGTTTCACAGAAAAATAAAGAAAAAAGATGTTATATAGAAAAAATTGAGCATATATTTGGATAATTTGCAACCTATAATTCTATAAGACTTGGTAGAATTCAAAGATCTTTTCAATATTATTATTATTTTTTTTTTGAGTTGGAGTCTCACTCTGTCGCCCAGACTGGAGTGCAGTGGCCGCCCCCGGCCACCGCAGCCTCGACCCGCTGGGCTCCGGCGATCCTTCTGCCTCAGCCTTCCGAGTAGCCGGAATTACAGGCACGCGCTACCACGCCCGGCTGATTTTTGATTTATTGTAGAGATGAGGTCTCGCCAAGTTGCCCAGGCAGGTCTTGAACGTGCGGGCTCAGGCAATCCACTCACCTTACCCTCCCAAAGGCACGGGATTACAGGCTGAGCCCACCGAGCCCAGTTTATTTCTGATAAAATCAAACTAAACACAATCCCTAAAATTCTTCCCATCCAAAGAAATTAAATAGGTAATTTGTTCTCTGAAATATTCTGCAAATTCCAATCCATAAGAAGTATACAAAATAAGATAAATAATAAAGGGTGTGTATAGATAAAGCTACAGTAATTCCATTTTTTGCTGCCTTGGCAAGGTACTATACGTATATACTATATCAACACAACAGAAATGGCACAGTCTCTGAGGACACATTCCACATTTTATTTACATTTTAAGACTAACTTTAATCTCAAAATCACATATCCATACACCTATTTCCTTTATGTTTACTTCACTTAAACTTAAACGCATGGTTTGTTAAACAAAGACTGTAAACAAATATTTACCATGTCTGTTACATGTAACACACAGGAATAGCTTTTAACAGAAATTCATCAATCCCCCCAACATTTTTTATTATAAATACAGGTATCAAAACAATCCTGAACATATTTTTGATACTACTAGTAGTCAGCACCCATACCACTTCAAAAATTAACATTTATGACGATATTCATTATACCTGCTACTTTAAACAATTTCAACTGCAGCTCTTTCACTAAGCAAGATGGATAAAGCCTGCCATTTCTGTTTTTCTTTCTTGAGACTTTTACTTTTCAGAAACACACATGCTTCCACTGCCAGCTGACACTTCTCACTACGCTTTCATCTTGTCAACCTGAATTCTCTTTCGGGTACTCCAGGCTTATGTTTAAATGACAGTGCCTTAACAAGAGAAAAAAAAGTACGCCGCATTTTTCCTCCTGTTACCTGAAAACATAATGGGTGTACATATATTAAATATATTCTTACAAATGTCCAGGTCATGTTTACCAGCTGGAATTCTTTTACTTAATGTGTGGGTATTTCGCATTGTGATATTTAATCAAGACATTAACATGAGTAAAAGGTTGCTGATTTAAGACAAGTTTGAGATCCACTAAAATTAATTATTGTATGTTTGTCCTTCTGGAGGCTGTGGAAGCTTCATATTTTCTTTGGACATCATTAGACGTCTTAGCTCCTGGAGTACAACTTTAATGCTATATGAATTTTGCCATTTTGCTAACACTGGTATGCTCCGTGCATCCACCTACAAGGGGAGAGAAAGGGTACAGGTAACTATCAAGTTTAAAGTACTACGGCACCCATTTTTAGAGCATATTTTAATAAGCATACTTTTGAAAATACATACCTTGGCTCTATTTTCACAAAGAGTACACTATGAAGTTAACATCTCAGAATAATATCTAGAGAAAATATTCCTTATCTAGTAGGTATTTCCTTTTAAAAAAATCTAAAAGATAAAATATATATATAAATACTTAAGCAGAGAAGCTGGGAAATGAGATGTGCAGAGATGTCATTGAAAAGCTCCAACATAGGCCTGGGAATCTAGCAGATAATATGAATATGTACCAAAAGACCTGAAAAGGCCATAAGCTCTCGCCCACTACTGATCGTGAGCAACATATAAGATTGTACACCAGCCGGGCTCGGTGGCTCAGCGGCTCAGCCTGTAATCCTGCGCCTTTGGGAGGCTGAGGTGAGTGGATTGCCTGAGCCCGCGGGTTCGAGACCCTCCTGGGCAGCGAGACCTCATCTCTACAATAAAAAATCAAAAAATCAGCCGGGCGTGGTAGCGCATGCCTGTAATTCCAGCTACTCTTGGAAGGCTGAGGCGGAAGGATCGCCAGAGCCCAGCAGGTCGAGGCTGCGGTGGCCGGGAGCGGCCACTGCACTCCAGTCTGGGCGACAGAGTGAGACTCCAACTCAAAAAAAAAAAAAAAAAAAAGAGATTGTACACCAAGTGGGATATATCCCAGAAATGCAAGATAAGTTCAATTTTAAAAAATCAGGGCTGGACACAGTAGCTCACACCTAACCGCAGCACTTTGGGAGGCCAAGGCGGAAGGATAATTTGAGCCCAGGAGTTCAAGACCAGCCTGGGCAACATAGTGAGAACTCATCTCTGCAAAAAATAAAAAAATTAGCTAGGCATGGTGGTACATGTCTGTAGTCCTAGCTACTTGGGAGGCTGAGGCAGAAGGATCACCTGAGCCCAGGAGGTAGAGGCTGCAGTGAACTCCAATGATGCCACCACACTCCTGCTAGGGGACACAGTGAAACCCTGACTAAAAATAACAATAATAATAAATGAAAAAAAAATCAGTGTGATATACTAATAGAGAACAAAAACCACAGTCATCTCAATAGATGCAAAAAAATTTTTGACAAAATTCAACAACCTTTATTATATGAACGTTGAACAAATTAGGACTAGAATTAACTGCCTCAACCTAACAAAGGCATTTACAAAAAATATACAGTCAGCCACACACTTAATAGTTAAAGGCTGAATGCTTTCCTCCTAAGGCCAGGACCAAGACAAGGATAGCCGCTCTTATTACCTCTTATTACCTCTAACCAATGTTGTACTAGAAGTCCTAGCCAGAACAATTAGGCAAGAAGCTGAAATAAAAGGCACTCAGATTGGAAAGACAGAAGCAGAAACATCTCTATTTGCAGATGACATGATCACAGAGAATTTCTAAGAAATCCGCTAAAAAAAATTATTAGAGCTAATAAACAAGTTTGGCAAGGCTGCAGGATACAGGATTCATATATTAAAAAATTAGTTGTATTCCTTTATACTTGCAATGAACAATTTGAAAATAAAAATTAAGAAAATAATGCCATTTACAGCCAGGCATGGTGACTCATGCCTGTGATCCCAACACTTTGGGAGGTCAAGGCAAGAGGATTGTTTGAGTCCAGGGGTTCAAGACCAGCCTGGGTAACTTGGCGAGATTATGTCTCTACAATAAATCAAAAAAATTAGTGGGGCATGGTGGCAACCACTTGTAGTTCCAGCTACTTGGAAGGCTGAGGTCGAAGGATCACCTGGACCCAACAGGTCGAGGCTGAGGTAGCTATGAGCATGCCACTGCACTCTGATGACAGAGTGAGACTCCATTTCCAGAAAAAAAAAGAAAAAGAAGACAATGCCATTTACAATAAAATAAAGAATAAAATACATAAGTATACATTTAACAAAAGTGTAAGACCTGTGCACCAAAAACTGCAAAATATTGTTGACAGAAGTTAGAGACCTAAATAAATATAAATGCATGGGAAGATGCAATATAGTTAAGATGACAATATTCTCAAACTGGTCTATAGATGCAATACAATTCCTACCAAAATTTCAACTGTCTTTTTCTTTTTGCAGAAATGGACAGATTGACTCTAAAATGTATATGAGAATACAAGAAACCCAGGCTTGCCAAAACAATTTGAAAAAGAACAAAGTTCTTTTGATTTCAAAACTTACTAGGAAGCTACAGTACTCAAGAAAGGTCAAGCTCACAAGGACAAACAGATAATGGAATACAACTGAGAGTCCAGAAATAAATCCTAACATTCTTGGTTAAGTGTTTTTCGACAGGGTGCCAAGACAATTCAACAGGAAAAGATAGTCTTTTCAACAAATGGTGCTAGGACAACTGGGTATCCACATGCAAAAGAACAGCACTGGGCCCTTAACTCACACCATCCATAAAAGATTAGCTCAAAATGGATCACAGACCTAAATTAAGAGCTAAAAGTATAAAACTGTTAGAGGAAAACATGGGAATAAACCTTCAACACGTTGGATTTGACAATGGTTTCTCAGATCTGACACCCAAAGCACATTTGACCAAAAAAAAGTAGGTAAACTGACTGCATCAAAATTTAGAACTTTTACACTGCAAACCATACCATCAAAAAAAAAAAGACAACCAAATAGAATGGAAGAAAATACTTATAAATCGTATATCCAATAAGGAAAGGGTTTCTGTCCAGTACATAAAGAACTCTTACAATTAAATAGTAAAAAGTCAAACAACCCGATTAATGTGTGTAAAGGCAGACTGTGGCAGGCAGCTTTTAAGATGACTCTCAAAGATCCTTAACTCCTGATATTCATGCCCTATGGAATCCTTCCCATGGAGTACAGGCTAGACTATGACCTTTTTCTTCTTCTTTACTATTTCTTTTTTAAATTAATTTTTTACATAAATCTGATACATTTGGAGACAAGCATACACCCATGAAACCATCACCACAATCTATGCCATAAACCTATCCACCACTTCCAAAAGTGTGCTCCTGCCCTTTTATTACTATAATTGGCGTGTAGGCTACGCATGGTGGTTCATGCCTATAATCCCAGCACTTTGGGAGGTGGAGGCAAGTGAACTGCCTGAGTACAGGGGTTTGAAACCAGTCTGGGCAACTTGGTACGAACTCAGACTACAATAAGTCAAAAAATTAGCCGGGTGTGGTGGCAAGTGCCTGTGGTTCCAGCTACTTGGAAGGCTGAGGCGGAAGGATCGCCTGAGTCCAGCAGGTGGAGGCTGCGGTGATCGTGAGTGTGCCACTGCACTCCAGCCTGGGCCACGGAGTGAGACTCCAACTTAAAAACAAAAAAAACAAAAAACTGCCTATGTGTGTATCTGATTTGCTTCCAATGAATACAGCACTGAAATGTCATTTCCAGCACGAAATCGCGTGCTGATTCTTCAGAACTCTGGACTCCATCTTGCTCGTTCTTGCCTTCATTGGCTTGCTCCACAGACGGACATCAGAAACCACATCACTGTGAACTGCCCTCTGGAGAAGCCTGCATGGCAGGGAACTGAGGGTGGTCTCTGGGCAACAGCCTGCGAAAAACTAAGGCCTTCTTCAGTCCAAAAACCCACAAGAAACTGAAGCACGAGCCCACAGCACAGGCTGACATCTCGACACAGGCTTGTGAGAAACCGAGCCACAGGATCCAGCTAAACTGCACCCACCTTCCTGACCCACAGATGACGCCTGCTGTTTTAAACTGCTCTTAAAAAACAGGCAAAGAATCTGAATAGACATTTTTTCTAAGACACAGAGATGGCTGATAAGCACGTAAAAAGGTGCTCGACATCATTAGCCATCAGAGAACTGCAAATCAAAATCACAACAAAATAACACTTCATACATACTAGGATGGGAAATGGCAACGAGTGGGTACAAATTTCCTTTGGGAAGGATAAAAACGTTCTAAAATTCGGTTTTGTCGTGGCAATGGATCCACAATGCTGGGAATACTAAAAAACAATGAATTGACCACTTTAAATGGGTGAATTGGGTGATGGATTATAGAACAATAAAACTCTTTACAAGTAAAAAAGAAAAATAGTTTTAGGGCGATAGTTTTTTTCTGAGTAGGAGTCTCACTCTGATGCCCAGGCTGGAGTGCAGTGGCACGCTCACGGCTACCACGCCCAGCTATGATACTTCTCTTAAGTAACTAATAAAAACAATAAGAAAAATGTTATATCATGTTAAGATATACTTAAAATGCTTCCTCTAATGCTTTAACTTAAAAGAGTAGCAACCCCTTTAGCCTATTTAAAATAGATTCCATAACTGAATAAGTTTATAAAGTAAGAGGGGAGAATGCCAAGTTATTTCCAAAGCAGAAACAAACACTGCCAGCTGTGTGTAGTTAAATAAACACAAGTGATTGCAAATCCTGTGAAACACCAACAGAAAGCACAACAGATTCAAAGGGAGTGAAAAAAAGATGAAGAGGGGGGAGAGAGTAAACTGCATGGGAAAGTAAATATCACGTCAGAACAAAATCTGCATCTTATCAGTCTGCAATACACAGTAACCTCCCAACGTGAGCTCTCACAGTATAAGACACGGCCGCTTACGCTTTAGAGTCCGAACCACCCACAAGGAATAATTGTACCTCGTTACAACCCAGGTGCAGCGGCTCACATGAGCCTGTAATCCCAGCACTTTGGGAGGCCAAGAGAAGAGCACTGCCGGAGCCCAGAGGTCCCACACCAGCCTGGGCAACAGGACGAGGCCGCGTCTCCACAATACACCCAAAATAAACACTCAGTCAGGCATGGTGGTGTGTGCCTCCCAGCCGCTTGGAAGGCTGAGTGGGAGGATCACCGGAGCCCAGCAGGTCGAGGCTGTGGGAGCCGTGATCGTGCCACTGCCCTCCAGCTTGGGCAGCAGTGTGAGGTTCCGAATCAAAAAAAAATTTTTTTTTTTGCC